CACCAGTTGCAGTGGGCACCCGAGCGACCGCACTTGGTAGCGGCGCCTCTGTCTCACGGCAGCACACAAACGGGATATCCCCACACTGCTTTGTCGATACACAGACCGAGCAACGGCACAAAAGGTGAGTGCATCCGACGGATGCGCCGGCCACGTGCTGACTGACGGACGGACGGACGGACCGGTAGAGTGATCTCTCTAGCATGGCCTTGAGGCGGTTGAGCATTTGGTTGACGAGGGCCTTGGCCAGGTCCAGGTGCTTAGCAATGCGCTCGCTCGACACCCACACCAGCCCATTTAGCCTAGGCGCACACACAGACCCATCACAAGACGAGACGTTTGGACACGTGTTTCCCCTCCCTGGGCACCGACCTGTCTTGGAGCTCTTGCGTTGCGGGGCATGTTATCGCTGCAGCTGCGATTGCTGTTGTTTCCGCGGCCCCTACCCCTGCACCTCCTTTGATGAGCTTCGGCAGCAGCTGCAACGCCCACTCTAACAACGCCACCTCCTGAACACATACGCACACACGCACAGGCCTGCATCAACGTGTCCCTCTCTCTCTCTCTCTCTCTCTCTCTCACCTTGTCCAGCTCTGCTAGGTGCTTGGCGGCCTCGTCTGTCTGTCCAGCGGCCTTGGTGGCCTCCATCACGTGGCTGCGGTAGTGCCGCACACCCTTCAGGCCCTCACGCAGACACAAACGCAACGCTGACAACACACACAGACAAAGACAAAGACAAACAGAAAGATGATGCACCGCAGATGAGATGACAGATGGACAGAAACGCTCTCTCTCCCTCTCTCCCTGTGTGTGTGCCCTCTCTCTCTCTCTCTCTCTCTCTGTCTCTGTGTGTGTGTGTGTGTGTGTGTCACCGATGGCCGCCAGGGGGTCTGCTGCAGCGATGGCGACTTCTGCACCACCACTGGCGGCACCAGCACCACTAGCAGCGGTGCCCGGCCGGCTCTCTCTGCCGCTGCCGCTGCCGCGCTCCTTGTCGGCCTCGCCCGAGAGAACGGATGCGTAGAGGCTGCTGCTCTGTCTCGACTGTGCGGTGAATGGGAGGTGCTGGTGCTGGGGACTCTCGATGAAGGCCACGATGATGTTGAGGAACGTCTGAACCATCTGAGACCAACGCAGCTGCGCGACACACACACACACACACACAGAGTGAGAGAGAGTTCGGACGCGAGATGAATGGTCTGGCTATGTTCCGCGCACCAGGTCTCTGAGTTTGTCTTGTGTGAGGTCACCCAGCGAGGCCGCTGGAGCAGGGCTGGTGCTGCCCTTCTGGCCCTTCCCCCTAGGCGCCGTCTCGGCCGAGTAGTGGCCCTTCACCACCGAACGTACGAAATCCAACATCTCCTGGGCCTCCTGCACCCGCACCCGCACGGACACACGCATATCATCTCATCAGCTCTGCTCCGTCCCTCCCTCCCTCCCTCCATGCCATTGCATGGGTCACCCACCAACCCCCCCC